CACCACGCTGAAGATCGTTTATGTCCCAGTTACTACGCCGTGTTCACGGATTTTCACGTCACTTGTGTGAGTGGACTCAGAGAAGCACCATGGCACCTGGAAAGAAGAACAGAGTATTTGTCATAGGAGTTGGCATGACTAAGGTAATCTTACTTTATTTTTAGCAGTTTATCACACTGCTGCTCTGTAAAACAGCGAGAAACGGCGCTGTGTAGCGGAGAGGCTAGCATGATTACCTAAACCAAGATTTCGGTTCTTTCAGTGCGGTCCACCTAAAATCTTAAGCTGAGACTTTTCTGCTCTCATTGGGACAGTTGGATCAAAACCCGCGGTGTTGGGGACTGTCGGGCTTATTTGTGCTCATGCTGTGTCCAAAGGTCTAAAAAACGCCTGTGTCATAGCTGTCAGTGCACTTTGAAAGGCTAGCTAGCTACGTTAGCCGAAGTAAAGTCAAATTGCTGTAGTTCATGTTTACAATTTAAAAACTACCCAGCTTTCGTGAGTGTGACGACAGTAGGTCTGGTTTGTATTCAGTACTCGCTGAGACTAAACGTGGAGTCCACAGTTCATGGTCAACAGCATTACAAACTGTGCCAAAGGTCTTCTCTCCGGCATGCTGCTAAAGGTGGACACTTTAATTCCAAAAGCTGCTTCTACCGCCAAACCTGAACGAGCCTCATGCTTTCAGGTCCCTGAAAAGTTAAATATGTCCCTCACAGTGATTTTGGTGGAGAAGGGTATATTTGCTTATGTTGAGGTATTGCACTGTCTGTTCTCTGAACAGTGCACACAAAGTATTTTCTATCATTTTATACCTCTGTGCATTAATGACATTAATTACAATTATGCCACTGAAGCCTTTTTATCTGCTCTTTGTCCTTGTTTGTGTTTTAAAGTCTGTTCACATCATGAAACCTGCAGCAGGAGGCATGTATAAATCAAATATATTGGTTTATACACCCATGTATTTAATTAGAAATTAGAAATCATTAGAAAGTCAGATTAGAAGTTAAGAAGTTCTTGATTTTGAGCCGTTCTGCAGTGCATCTGGGCACACTGTCTTGCTGGGGGAAGCTGCTGCTGTTGGGGAGCGCCATTGCTATGGAGGAGGTGTGTGTTTGCTCTGCAGCAATGTTTGGTCGGGTGGTACAAAAAGTTTTAGAGCAACATCTACATGAGTGTCAGGACTTCAGGTTTTCCAACAGAACATTCATTGGATTATAACAGGATGATGAGTATTATTCACCTGTTAGTGGTTTTAATGTTCTTGCTGCCCGGTGCATGTTTAGGTTGCATCAGCAGAGTGTCTGTAGACTTCTCCACACTTAATAAAATGTTTAAAAGTTGTTTTGAAAATAAAATCTTGAATCAGACTTTAGTGGCACTGACCTGAGTTTTTGTGTGTGTGTTTGCTGCAGTTTGACAAGCCTGGAGCACGGGAAGGTGACTATCCTGATATGGCCAAGGAAGCAGGTGCTGATCTTTACAGATTATTGGTCATTCATAGATATCAGATCTTGATATTTATTGTTTTTGTGCTGTTATAAAACATGTAATAAGTTTTATTGCTGTATCTACATCCTATTTTAGGTGAAAGGGCTCTAGCAGATGCAGGAATCCCATATTCTGCCATTGAACAAGCTTGCGTAGGATACGTCTATGGTAAAACCTCGAATAAATATTTATATTTTTAACAATGTAGTATGTGCATTCACATTGTCTACTTTGCTGTATATGTGAAAATGTGAATTTTTTTTGTATTTTTCCTGTTTTATGCTCCAAATTGTTTTTTCTTGTTAAGCCTCTTTCATGTATTTTTCAGCACAGTTAAAGTGAAATAAGGGAAGAGTAGCATCTCATCCTACCTCTCTGTTCCAGGTGACTCCACATGTGGACAAAGGGCCATTTACCACAGCCTGGGTCTGACCGGCATCCCCATTATCAACGTCAACAACAACTGCTCCACAGGTTCCACTGCTCTCTTCATGGCACGCCAGCTGGTCCAGGGAGGTGAGTCAGCCAGGAGGTTTTAACAGTGGCAGGTAGTTTGCTCTATAACACTTGAAGGCTGAGGTGAAACGTGATAAACAGTGGCTTCTTTGGATTCTAGTTATTCAAAGTATTGAAATGTTACTGTGGCTCGATGGTGTATAACAAGCGAAAGATCCCCAGTTAAATGGTAAATGGCCTGCATTTGTATAGCGCTTTTCTAGTCCTTAAGGACCCCAAAGCGCTTTACACTACATTCAGTCATTCACCCATTCACACTCACATTCACACACTGGCGATGGCAAGCTACATTGTAGCCACAGCTGCCCTGGGGCGCACTGAGAGAGGCGAGGCTGCCGGACACAGGCGCCACCGGGCCCTCTGACCACCACCAGTAGGCAAATATGGGGTTAGTATCTTGCCCAAGGATATTTGCCATGCAGCCAGGAGGCAGCCTGCGATCGAACCACCGACCTTCTGATTAGGGGCTGACCTGCTCTGCCACCTGAGCTACAGCCACCCACAGTCTCCGGAGGAGAGACGAGGCCCTTCAGGGCTGCATCAGGAAAGAATCCAGCGTAAAAATCAAACCAGCCGACTCAAACCTGCATGTTCTTTTCAGCGCAGTCTATAATAAGTAGTTTTATTCACTGCCTTTAATGTTTTCTTGCAGGTCTTTCTGATTGTGTGCTTGCTCTTGGGTTTGAGAAGATGGAGAGGGGCTCTCTGTCTGCAAAGGTATGCACATTCATCCAGGAATTGATCACGTTGTATGTTTTAACATTTTTTACCCCCTAGTCAGCCCTCACAGCTATTTTGCAATCTTTCATGTTTGACTTGGCTGAAATTTTGCCTGATGGATGAGAGGGGGGAGAAAAATCAGCTGAGGTCACATAATACAGAGAAACCTCTTATTGAGAATGAAAGCTGTTAAAAGGAAAGCATTATGTGGGTTTTTGCATGTGTAAAGCTCGGTCACTGTCATCTATTGACTTGGCCTCTGGGGACTTTTTGTCCACAGTTTTGGGGGCTGTCAAGTTTTGTGTTTTAATTGTTAAAGTCCAATGGCTGATAAAAAGCATCGGGCAATAAAAGACTGCAATTCAGCAACTGCGATCCTTCTTTCTGCTCATACCGTTTTCCTTTGTACAATCACAGTGGAGAGTGGAGATTAGCATTTTCTACTGACTTCGAATAACTGTGGACGAGGACGTTACGTGGTTTACTTGTAGTTTGGTTAATTCATTACCAGATGTGGGGCTCTGCCCAACTTTGTGATTAACTTTTGGAGTCAATTCAGACCCGGATCTAAAGATTTTGCAAAGGATTGTTTACCATTGCACGATGGGTAAAGATTTACATTTCACTTCCTGTCTTTACAAATCCATATCAGGGTCAAACCGGGAGAGACAGACTAAAAATTTCAAGAAAATGTCAAATAATTATATCCTTCTGGAACTAGAGATCCCATATGTGGAAGGAAATTTTAGTCTGTTATTGCATTTCTTTTTTCTTTTCTAAAGTACATGGATAGGACAAATCCCATGGACAAGCACATGGAGGTGATGATCAACCGCTATGGGATGGCAGCAGCGCCAGCAGCACCACAGATGTTTGGAAATGCCGGCAGGGAGCATATGGAGAAATATGGTAAACATATCATCCAAACAAAGCAATTCCTACAGACTACAGTAGGAATGTTATTGTAAAATCTTCATTGTTGTCAGCATTTTACATTATGGCATT